CGCCGCCGCGGCGGCGGTGGCCGCCACGGCGTCCGCTCCCGGCGGCCGAGGACAGTCTGTCATATGTACGGCACCCGGGCAGCGCTCCGCCAGCCAGCCGCAGCTGCAGGGCTCCCCGGCAACGGAACGTATGGATTTAACGCCGCAGGGCTCCGTACATGCAGGCGCATTGCATACTGGCGCCGCCGCTGCCGCCGCCGCATCGAGCTCGGTCATCAGTCACAGTCACTCAGCACGCCACGGTTTTTCAGGCACCGGCAACGGGTACGTCGGCGTGGGACTTGCCGCCGCCGCCGCCGCCGCCACCGCCGGGTCGTACTTTCCGCCGTCCCTTGGCTCCGGAACCCGTACTTCCCGGAACTCCAGGAACTCAGGTGTCGAGGCCGGGGGCGATATCGACGGCGGCCACTCATCCACCCCACGTAGCTCCAATACGTCGAACCGCTCCGGGCCGCCGCTGTGGGCCCCGCGGCTAATGATGCCCGTACCGCTGCCGTCGCGTCAAACCTCCGGGGCCATCTCATCGCAACAGCAACAGCAGCAACAGCAGCAGCATCCGTACGGCAGCGGCGGCGCCGCGGTATCGCCGGTGCCCATGCGTTCACGCCCAGGGCAAGGCCTTGTACGGCACATCTCCGCGTTCCTCCGCTCCGCGTCCCTCGCGCTGCAGGGCGGCAGCTCCGGCAACAACAGCGGCGCCGCCGCCGCCAGTGCCGCGGCCGCCGCCGCGGCCGCCACAACCTCGGCCGGTGGCGGCGGCGGTCCGCATAGCAGCTCCAACCAGCCAATGCCTCCTTCCCCGGGTCCCCAGGGGCCGCGCGGCGCCGCCGGGGCAGAAGGCGGCGGCGCGGACGCCGCCGCCGCCGCCGCCGCCGCCGGCCTCGGCCTCGGTCTGACCAGTCTGGTTTATCGGTCCTATGACACGGCTCTGAGGGACAGCACCTCAGGTGCTGTGGATACGAGGCTGCTGTCCACGGGCACCCTGGGGTTGTCGAGTGCCGGCGCCGCCGCCACGGGCTCCAACGTAACCACGACGACAGCGGGCGGCGGCGGCGGCGGCGGCGGCGGGTTATTAGGTAGCGGCGTCGGGGGCCTGCGCGACCGGCTGCCAGCACGGCTGCAAGCGATGGGCGGCCTCTTCCGCGCTGGTTCGTTCAGCTGGTACGTCGGTTGACAGTTGGGAATTGGTTGGCACGTGCGACGTGCGACTGGTAGGGGCTGCTGGACGACTTTCGTGTTCTGGATGTGATTGTCGTCCAACAGTTCTAATCCACAATTCTTATCTCTTGCTCGCGCATGTATGTGTGTGCGCTATGGTGATGCATTTCTAAAGATTTTGCTCACGATTTTGGCACGATGCCGGTGCTACTCCCTTGTCCCGGCCCTTACAGTCACGTCCGCCGCCGCGCCGATGGCAGCTCCCGTGCCAGCGACTTCGGCGTCACGTCCGCCACTGGTGTCGTACCTGGCGGCGGCGGCCGCGGCACACGATCCCCGCCGGAGAGCGGACGCCGCTACATGTCCACGGCCAGCGGACTCGGCTACGTCGCCGCCGCCAGCGGCAGCGCCACCGGCGGAGGCGGTGTGGTGCCGGGTAGTCCAGGGCTGTCCCCCGCGCTCCGGCCTGTGGCGGCGGCGGCCATGGCAGGCGGCGGCGGCGGCGGCGGGTTTGGCAGCGGGGGCTTCTACTGGCGGCGGGAAGCACACGCGGCAGCGGCAGCCGCTGCCGCTACTGCCGCCGGCAGCGGCGGCGGCAGCGGCGGCGGCAGCAACCGTCGTCGCGAGTCTCGCGGTGAGGGAGTGTTATTGGATCGCATCCTCACGGACCGAGACAACAGCTTTGTGATTGTGGTGGGTGAGGATGAGGACGGTGAAGTGGAGGGGGATTCGGAAGGGGAGGTGGAGGACGTGGCGGTGAGTGTCCGTGGCGGTGACGTGCCGCCGCCGCCGGCGGCTGCGGCGGTGACTGCAGCTGCTCCGTCAGCGATGATACTCCAGTCCGCCAGCGGCAGCGACGGCGGCAGAGCTCCAACCGGCGGCGGCGGCGGCGGCGGCGGCGGCGGCGGTGAAAGACAGCCGCAGCGATCTTCAGCCGCTGGCGTGTCCCTCACTGCAGCGCTGATGCACCTCAACAGCGGTCGGATCACTGCGGGTTCCGGAGCGGGAG